TAGCAAACCTGCTAAGTTGCTAGCTTTTCACTCACAACTTAACCACTTAGCTAAGTCCTGTAAACTTTATAACTTCTTTAGTAACTCCTGATAAACAATAAGATCTTCAGGGGACATCCCAGCAGGGCATCAACCAAGGCGGAGAAGAAGAAGTCCAACCGCCGCGAGTGGGGTAACGACTTCCAAAGGCAGGAGGGCACCGACCCGAGGGACCAGACTACTACTAAGTTTATACTCAGACCTGTCCATCTTCGGCAATCATCAGCCGATGCCGGAAGGACGCGGCAGCCTGAGTGGACGCAACCAGTGGCCTGCGGAATACGTTCCAGGCTTCGGCGCAACTGGCAAGTTCAGGCAAGCTGGACCTCTCAGCCCCGATGTGGCGATGGTGATGGAGCAGGTGAAGGACGCGATTGTGGAGAAGCCAGCTATACGAGGGAGGCGCTGAACAGCCACGCTGTGAGCTCAGAGGGCACCATCCATTCGCTCGAGAAGAAAGTGGAGAAGCTGGAGAACGACAAGCCCAAGTTGAGCAATCGCAAACATCCTCGTCAAGAAGCCCGCCCAAAGGTTGACTTCCCCGCCACCTTCGCAGGGACGCATGGACATGATGGTCACTCCAGAGACGAAGAAGTTGGTCAAGTGCGACGAGGTGACCGCCGAGCAGACCGATCAGTGCTCGACGGCTGGGGGCAAGTTCAATCCCCGCGGAGCTTGTGAACTACATGAGGTTGAGGCTCCCCGTGGCATGAAGGAGCCACTACATTCATATACGACAAGAACATAATGACGTTGACGAGTTTTTGGAGGTGGACTTCAATGACCCACAAGACCATCGCAACCTTGAGCGAGGAGAAGAAAGAATTTCTGAGGCAGCAGGTCGAGAACTATGACCAGAGCATCAATGAGACTTTGGACGTCCTGGCCACAGACCACTCGGAGACCTTGCTGTGATGTTTCCCGGACAGCAGGCTCACGCAGATTCTTTGGACCGAGGCAAGCAGGCCATTCGCATCGGCCTACCTGCTACAGATGTCAGCGCAAAGAAAGGAGTCAAGGAGGTGAAGGACATTGACATGTTGAAGCCCAAAGGTTGCTTGGTTCTCATTGCCATGTGGGCCATACTTCCAGGTCCAAGAGCTTGGAAAGAAAGAATACAGCAAAATGCTTGAAGCGCCTTGGAAATAAGACTGCGTGGCAATCCGGCTTCTGCCCCAAGGCAATGTGTGATGTGATCTTCAAAGCCATCAGAGAGTGGCACAACAGCAGTGAGTCAAGGAGACACCTACTACCATCTTCCCAGTGTTTCGCGCGAAAGACCTCGGCTTCGACAAGTATGAACCAAAGAAGGAGATCATTCCCCTGACAGCCGCAGAGGAGAAGCACTCTCGCATGGTCAATTGAGAAGCTTCACCGCAAAACGGGGCATCCCACAACACCTCACTTGCGGCCTGTTTGAAAAATCGCGGCGCTCAAAGCTCATCAACTGGGACGGTGTTGTGCAGTCGGACACCTGTTATGGGAAACCCTCACGCCCAGTTTGCGGTCAACGACCGAGTGATCCACTGCGCTGTGACGATCGATGATGAGGCGTCCCGTTTGATGTGTGCCCATTGGCTTTTCGAAGTTGAACACCACAAAAAAGACCGCGCGCTGGAGTGCACTGAGGGCTACAGTCCGTAGACGCGATCGATGAGGCAGGCTACGAAGGCTTCATTCATGCGCAGCAAGACTTCCTCAAGCACCGACCCCAAGAGGCCATCTCAAGAGCCGCCAACTCAAAGACCAGGAAGGCTCAGACATTCCTTCCCAGGTAGCCGCCATCACAACCACAGGCGAGCGTGCGCCTGGCCCACAAACTATAGCGATGGTATGGCCCTGGAAGAGCGCTGGCTTCAGAAACCTGCCCGAGGACGTGAGAGGCAAGGCTGAAGCGCTGCGCCCCTGAGCAGCTTCGATCATGTGAACCTACACTGCCCCCCCCCCCCACTCCCCCCCCCCTTCGCGATCATTAGTAGTCGACTAACAAGGCCTTAATAAGGCTCAGACCGAGTAAAGCTCATCGCAGAGGGAGCCAATTCCCCGGTGGCCATGACCCTGTATCGTGGCGAATTTGAGGTCTTCAACGCCAACATTTTTCCAGAAGATGAGACGAGGACTGGAGCCCGGAGCCCCAAGAGCGCCACGAACACCAGCTCGCGCGCGGCCCCGCACTCCAGCGAGACGCGCTATGAGCCAGTCGCCTGAGACAAGGCAGCCGCCTGAGAAACTTTCACCTTTCACCCCAGGTCTCACCGTAGGAGACTGGCATGATCATGAGAGGGCCCTGAAAGACGCCGAAGAAGAGCCCAAAAGAGTTGAAAAAGAAAGGCAGCGATGAAGGGCCACACCATGAAGCTGACTTTGCAAGAATCAAGAACGAAAAAGAAAAGAAAGATGAAGAACGATCCCGAGTCCCGAAGTCCTCCAAAACCACCACAGGGTAGCGGTATATATAGCTCCACCAGTAGTGAACGCTCAGCCCGTGTAGACTTGGATCGGTATCTCACTGATCCAATGTACTAATTGCCCGCGCCTCATGCCGTGCAGAACGGCCGCTTGACATCAGAGCTTCTCGAACAGCCCATGTTCAACAAGAGGCGCAAAGAGCTGGGAGTGAGCGACGACGGGGAGTTTTGGCGACTTCATTTTTCATGAAGGCATGGTTTCACCCTCGAGCTTCCTATGCCCACGAAGGCTATAGTGAGTGGAAACGGCTCAAACGCACCCCTGGCGACGCCTTCTAATAAGATCAAAGGTGTGGAAGTGAAAATGGCATCTTCTTAACTGAGGCCCAAAAAGCCGAATTCGCAGACTGAGGTGCCGCAATGGCTTGCAGCTGCAGCGGTCTTCACTTGGACGGGCACTGGCGCTGCCAAGGGACGCGTCGTCCTGGTTGGTTTCCAAGGTTGTGATGTGGGGTCCCTCGACTCAGCGGCTCCAACGACAAGAAGGACAGGGCGGCTTGGCCTCCAATACGCCGCCATCCGGCGGTGGCGCATTTTGAAGGCTGATGAAGGCAGCCTAATAGGGGAGTGAGGAGGCCCGGAACATCTTTGCCATTCCGGTCTCGTGCCCTACACTTCCCAGAAGCGGAAGCCGCGCAGATCATCAAGTCCTGCTATGGCCTGCTCAACGCCCCAGCGTCTTGGTTTCAGAGTGATGATTTTTGAGCAACGCAAAGCCGACCACTGTTTTTCCTTTTTGGACTACCCAATGATGGTGGAGATCGGGACACACATGGTGTCATCTGTTCACATGTTGATGATTTCATCATCACTGGCGAGAAGAGCAATGAAGCTACTAGGGTCACAGGCTTTCGGATTTGTATGACTGGAGTTATCTTTCTTCAAGTGTGGCATTCGTCTGCAGGAGCAAGAAGACTATTATATGGGCTGATCCTGGACCACAGCAGTTTTTCAGGAGATGGCATTGAACAGATTGTTTTTGAAAACAGGGCTGACCATGAGCCCGTCAACGCCAACGAGCTGACACGGTTGCGAGGAGTTCTGGGAGCTTTGCAGTGGCCAACTCATCAGACCAACCCCCTGATTTCAGCCGGTGGCGACCTTGAAAGCCGCCAACAAGATGCATGGTGAGGGACAATTTTCAGTCCAGGCACATCTCAACCAAGGTCGACCAATTGCACATTGAAGATCCACGACAGGTGCACTTCGTTGAATGGTCTGACGCTGCAGCCCTAGCCAATCGACGAGATTTGAGCTTGACCGGCAGCTACGCCATGGCTGCGACAACACCTGCAATGATGCAGGGCCATCAAGGTCCTCTCACCTTCATCTCACGGAGGTCATCGAAGTTGCCCTAAAGCCAGGTCATCATTGGCTGCAGAAGCACAAGCTCTAGCCAAGACAGACAAGAAGCCACGTACTGCAGCGGGCCGCATGGGTACCACGTGGACCTCAAGAAGGTGGAGTTGGCAGTGGGCCGCATTCCCGCCGCTTTGGTCATCGATTCGCCAAAGCACTCTACGACGCGCTCCAGAAGAAAGATCTCAACAGCTCAGGCGCAGGCCTCAAAGACAAGTTCACATCGTTAGAGTCACCCAGCTGCATGAACACCATGGTCCGGTGGGCGCACAGCGGGGCAAACAGGCCTTGATCGAAGGTCGCTGGACTCTGACCCTCGACCCCTTTTTCACGAGCTCGAAGAAGTTGCGGTCTCAGGAGAAAGAAGGATCCCAGAACGGTGTGAGGCTAAAAGGTCAATCTTCGGGCAATCCCCTTGGGGTATGTAAGCTTTCGTGTTTTGAAGCCATCTTTCGTGAACGATGTTTTTGCCCTTCACTTGACCTTTGGGCCCAAGGGAACCCTTTTGCCATGCTGTGCACCTAGACGGTGCCTCGACGCTACGTGAGTGGAGAAAAGCATAGCAGCCGCGTTGTGCTTGGGGGCCCCGTGGTGGGCCTGTGACCCTTTGTTGGTTGTGTGTTCAACCATCGTTGGTACAAGGCGTATCCAGACAGTGAAACCTTTTGCATTGGTGCCTCACCTTTAGTTGCTTATGGCTTCGTTGCTACCAACAGCCAGTTATTGGTTTTCAGCCTTTGTGACGCTGTTCTGACCTTTTCATTACATGTCTCTATACACTCTCAGTCGCCCACTTGTGCAAGAATGCAAAAAGCTTCCACCCGCTTAGTACGGGAGAAGGACATGGAAGGACCAATATTTTGGAGGGTGGGATACAGTGCATTTCGAATTCAAATTAGGTACGTTGCGGGCCTCGGAGCTGGTCAAGACCCTTCACAACCAACCTTTTTGGGCCAACCATGCTTGGTATTGGTACAGCAATTCTGTTGCAATCTGCGCAAGTGTTGTACGTTGTGTGGATCATGATATGATCACGATGGATCCTTTTGGCAAGTATGCCCAATCTCAACGCAAACAGAAAGCGCGTCCGTTGCTTACTTGAAACGTTTGTTGCTGCGACACAAACTTGCCCAGGCACTAGTTCATCTAGTGGTGTGAAACTCAGTGATGCATAGTGACAAACGGTATCTAAAGCCTGAAGTTTTGGCGCTGCTCTGGATCTTGTTGGGCCTTGATTGCTTAGGAAGTGGAAGTTGGCTGTTTACTCGGCATGTGATGTCAATCATCGTGAGTTCTTGAGATAAAAGAGCTATATAGAGGATCCAAATACCAAAAAGGACAGATGCCGTATACTTCCTTGCCAGGCTCTCAACCATACTGTCTCCCTTTCTGACAGTCCTATGCCAAGATTTTTGATTTTTTTGAAAGATCAGCTGACTAGCAATGTGACATTTCAGAAGTCGCACAAACTGTCACTGAGTCTGTGCAGTCTTGCTGACCTAGGACGGAGACATGCGCGAAATCCACGCAGAGCCAAGACCTCAGAGGGAGGGAGTGAGGGTCAGAGGATCAGTTGCCTATGAATTTACTGCTTGGCGTGCGCATCACGCAAGGGTCTTAAGATTAAGCATTGTACGATTTGAAGCATATGCGTCCGATTCTCTACCTGTTGTCACTAGTCCCACCGATATTGCCAGAGTTTTTCTGCAGGAGCTATGTCGATCAACATCTGGGAGCGAACGGGCAAGACCAATTGCCATAGAGGAGTATTGTGACAGTGATAGTGATATCTAGTGATAGTGCATGAAATAGATTCCACAAGCTTAGCGGCTGGGGCTCCTTGCACCGTTTCTGCGTGGAGCAACTGTTTCACCATCGGCTGTCAATTCTACAGCTTGCACAGCCGAAATAGAGCGCAAAAAATTCGACGACCGACGCTAAGAAGACTTAACGACTCTATGGGAAGGAGCAGGGTACACCGGAAGAAGACGCAGCACAACCGAGATGGTAGACAGGGCTTAACGCGGCCTAGGTCTTGGACTTTACTACCCCCTTACTAATTAGGTCTAATTATTGTTCCCCACCTGTCAGGTGCGGGTTGTTAGATTTTTAAGCGAGGTGCTGCAACTCTTTCTCATCCTCCTAGGATGCTCCTCGTCCTCCTCGCCTCACAACAGCAAAGCCCAGAGCACTCCCGGACCTCAACAGCACCGCAAAAGCAACCACAAACACAAACGCAAACACAAACGCAAACACAACCACAAACACAGCCACAAACACACCCACAACCGCAAACACAACCACAGCCACAAAGACAACCACAGCCACAAACCGAACCGCAAATGCAACCTCAAACACAACCCCAGACACATTCACAACCACAAGCACAATGACAAACACGACCACAAACACAACATAACAATATAATCACCTGTGTGTCTGGAGCATTTTGGTCGGTAGTGGTCACAGTGTCGCACTTTTGGATGCCAGCTGTGGACCGGCGACGCCCCGACGCGAACTCTCAAATACTAAAACCACAACCCTAAACCCAAGGACCTTCAAGCAATATCGAGAACCACAAAACCCCTGGCCTTTGCAACATGCTCTCCACCAATGCATGAAAACAAACACGATTGAATTGTCATGGCGGGGATCGCTCGAAGCATAGTATTTGTTTGCCGGCTCCTACTGGTAGGCCGCTAAGAGGAAGAGGTAGCTAGTAGCTTGAGTAAGCTTGCAACTGGACGCAGGATAGCTCACGCTTCTGCAAGCTGAGGGCAACCTTTTAGGGAAATTCACGTGTTTTATTCCTTTTGACAACTCTGTTCTTCTTTTGAAGAAGGCTACCAGTAAAGCCTTGGGTCTCAGGCTTTGGACTTGACTTAGCTACCTGTGACTACCCCTTGCACAGCACTTGCTTCAAGATATTTCAAGATACAAAGCATTGCCCAGTTGCTTGCAGCTCCGGTGAGCCAGCAGGACATTCTGAATCCATCTGCACGTCCAGATGGTTTTTTCGATTCCTGGGACACGAGGACATGCTTTGCAAAGACCTTAGTATGAAAGTGACGTGTCGACAGTTGGATTCTACATTGCTGTGAGGTAGTGGCCTCTCTGTTCGTGGATGCTTGGATCTCAAATTTGCTACTCAAGGATATGCTTATCATGGCATGATCTGCCTTCAATTCTGTGACTTCTTTTGAGTCGACTCTGCGTGGGCTCCAGGAGTTCTCTGGTGTCACTAGAGGAGTTGCGAAAGCCGCTGGAGTGGCCATCGTGTGCGACCACAATCATCTCTGGTTTTTGCAGAAGAAGATGCCCTGCTTCTGACAGCGACAACAGTGACAGCTTTGCTGTTCCCATCGACCTGACACGCCTTATACTTTACAGGTCATTGAGTCATTGATGTTCCCTCTCTCTCTAGGACTCCAGCTAGCGCTCTTGCAGACAATGTTCTCTAGCAGAAACACTGCAAATTTGACCCAGCTCTGGCAAGGTTCTTGCTGTCATGGGGTGGAAGCAGCATTCAAGGCATGTTTGACATGTGAGGAAGCCTTTTGCTTCCTGTTCCGACACTGCCCAAAAGTTTGCTCAGAAGTTAAAGTTGACAAAGTAGACAGGTTCTGAACAACCTCCAAAACACTTAAATCACGTTACATCAATATAAATCACATCTCTGTGAATTCATCATGATTTACATTGCTTTACTTGCGGTGCCAGCAGTAGATTGCGGAGGCAGGATACAGCACTTCTCAACTTGATTTTGAGATGTACGTGCTTGCAAGTATAAGGCTTCCGTGAGCCGCCCGCCATGGCTGCACGGGCTGAAGCCACTTGCTTTTTGCAACAGCTGGCTTCGAGCGGTGTCAAATGGGAAGACTTTTTGCATCACCTTGAGCCATGCGTTGACCAGGCAGAAGACCGAGGGGAATAATCATTCAAGTGAATATAAGTTCTGTTTCGATTCGTTGATTCTTTGCAACACTGTGAATTAAACATTGATGCACACTCGCTCCGACACGCTTGTCATGAGCGATGCGATAAGCCAAGCATTTGGCTATGAGTCAACCCCCCATACTCCTCTACCTCTACCAGCACTGGCTGATTTAGATTGTTCTCTCACTGCAGTCGCGAAAGGTTCGCGAAGGTCCTGCGAAAGGTTTGCGCAAGTCATGTTGGTGACCTGGCCATGCTGCAAGAACAATTGCTCTTCAGACTTCCGATTGCTTTTTCCCGGGTTGGGAAAAAGCAAGTTGGAAATCTGAACCATTTTGCTTTTTCCCGGCCCGGGAAAAAGCAAATTGGAAGTCTGAGCCCTTTGCTTTTTCCAGGCCTGGGAAAAAACAAATTGGAAGTCCGAACCATTTTGCTTTTTCCCGGCCCGGGAAAAGGCAAATTGGAAGTCTGAGCAAACTGGCCTGACTGAGCCGTCTCTTGTTCATGGAGGGTTGCGCCCAACCAAAAACACACCAAAATGAAAATGGCTTGGTTGGAAGTCTTGACCATTTTGCTTTTTCCCAGCCTGGGAAAAAGCAAA